GGCGCACTATCCAGTGCGCCACCGGGCCGGCCCAAAGCTACTGATTTTCAAAATTATCAACAATATACTCTACTTCTCTGGCCTGCTTTGTAAGTCAACTCATCAGTATTTACCAAGCATATACTATATAATACTCTAGGCACTAGAAATAAAGCAAGAAAAACATCAGATAAGATCAGATCTTTATCCTCATGGAGTATACAGTCAGCTCATTCTTAAAAAAACAATCTATGAAGAGGACAAAACTGCAAATATAGTACCTCCTCCTGACCCCAGCCTTGTAAGATAATAAAGGTAGAGTAAGAGGTATAGCAAGAGAATCATCATCTCCATCTGGAGAACGCAGGAGAGGCTTCCCAGAAGAGGCAATGACTAAGCTAAGGCTTGCTGGAGAAACAGAGAAATGGGTCAGGCACAGATAGGTGGAAAACATATTCAGGGCTCTGAAACAGCAATGTGTAAAGGTATATGAGGCTTAACATGTCCTGAAGAACTATCAACAGAGTATGTTGGGGTATGTGAACAGATCACAAAAGAGGAAATACTACCTGTTCACATCTTTGCTCATTTATTGTCTTATCAATGTGCGTGTACTCCTTATATGTTAATGTTAACTTAGTTGTATTTATGACAAATAATTATTTGCTTTTTGGTTGTCTTTATTTTTTATATAGCCAAATATAGTAATTTTTTCCTTTGATCCCTCTTCAACTGCTTTTAGGCCTAAAATAAATTTCTAAACACTTATAAACCTTCATTTGATTTTTTAAAAAATTACATTTTAGTATGTCATTCACAAGCTTTTGCATTATGGTTACCATGAAGCTTACAAAAAACATGTTATAGTTATAACAGCTTATGTTAGACTAATAACAACTTTGATATCTAAGAAAAAAGAAAGAACCAAAGCTGACTCTATACTTTGGCATCATTCCTCCATGACTTTTTGACATTTTGTTGTTTCAAGTTACATCTTTTAATTTAATAGTAAATCTTGATCAATCTTGATAGTGTCACCTGGCAAGAAAATTAAGTTATAGTTTTAAACACTTGTCTTATGAATATATGCACTTTGCAGTTAGCAGACCACACATTACAAAATTGATGCTCAACCTATTAAGACTAAGCCTCACTATGCTTAAATCTATCCCATTAGCTAATTAGGAGCATGCTAAAAATAAAACATTCAAGGACCCAATGCTTGAAGAACAACATGATTATACTTCCCTTCTCCCTTTGCCTCACTGATGCAGTGCTGACCTCATCTCCTTGGCAGGCCTCTTCCTCTCTACCTGTTCCTTAAATTCCTCATGACAGATCCTGGGCCTCTTCTCTTCTGCCCCTTTTCTGTGAACTCAGGCTAATTCTTTTTTTTTCCCCTCAGTGCTTCAATTACCTAATCTTTAATAGTCATGCACAAATCTTTTTAACTTCTTATTTCTCTACTGAGCTCAAAACCTTACTTTCCAATTGCCTGCTGCATCTTAAACTCAAAATTTCTAAGTCAACTCATTTGTTTTCCTTCAGGAAACTTTCTCCTCTACTTTGGTTGACTTTTTCTGTTGAGGAAATCATATAATATCCTTTAAGAAGCCAGAAATCCAGCCATCTTTGACGCCTCACTCTCTCTCACCCCCAGGATCAATAAATCCCTTCTATTCTACTCTAAAACTTGCCTGCAAATGCTACACAGTGGTAACCAGAAATAGAGCAGTATGGTTAAGAGCTCTGAAACCAGGCTACACAGGTCTGAATGCTAGATTCAAATAAAAGCTGAGTGGGCTAGTTATTTAACCTTTCAATGATTGTTTCCTTACCTAGAAAATGAACTTAATAGTAGTACCTATTTTATGGGATAATGAAGAGGCTAAATAGGTGAATAGATGTAAAGCATTTAAAAGAGCATTTGGTACATAGTAAATACAGTCATGCCCCACATAAGGACATATCAGTTAACTGACTACCTATATGACAGTGGTCCCATAAAATTATAATGGATCTGAAAAATTCCTATTCCCTACTGATGTCATAGATGTCCTAATATCACAGTGTGTCATAGAAAACAGTATTATGTTTTCTATGTTTAGATACACAAATATTTACCATTGTGTTACAATTGCCTATAGCTCATAGAAAACAGTATTATGTTTTCTATGTTTAGATACACAAATATTTACCATTGTGTTACAATTGCCTATAGCATTCAGTACAGTAACATGCTGTACAGGTTTGTAGCCTAGAAGCAAAAGGCTATACCATATAGCCTAGGTGTACAGTAGGCTATACCATCTAAATTTGTGTAGCTATATTCTATGATGTTTGCACATGACAAAATCACCTAATGAAAATGTATCCCCATTGGATGCATGACTGTACTCAATAAAAACTAGTTTTCATTAATTTTATTATTATTAACTAAAAACTAGGTACTCTCAAAGGTTATCCTTTGAGAAAGCAACTGGTAAAAATCAATAAGAGTTAAAAAAAGATGAGATCTATTTGAGGCTACAAAGATATCATAAACACATATCAAAAACAAAATTAAATAAAATGTCCTAATTTTTCGGATAAAAAATAAAAAAGGGATAATTCTACAATAATGAGATTAAAGAGTTTTAGAAAACCCCCAAATCCAATCACGGTACCCTGGACAGAATCACAGGCCAGCATGACTAGATTGTGATACCAACAAAGAAAAATTCTGTATTAATAAATGGCATTATAAATGAAGTGTATTCCTAGGAAGATGATGGTTTTCCTTATACTCATAATAAGGGAAATCCAAAGACAAAATTGGGTAATGTGTTACTAACAAGGTGTCCCACGAAAAAATTGTTCCTGATCCACAAATAAGATCCTTTCTCATTATGAAGAGTGATTTCTGAGACTGTGGTAGCTGAATGATACTGGCCTATAAAGTCATCCAACTCTTCCCCGTTCTGATTCTATGCACACAATATATTGTTTTACTTAAAATTTAGTTTTACATACACATCTGGCTGGAGGAGAATGGGCTGATGACCAAAAATGAGTATCTAGCCTGATATTTATATTTCTCAATGTAAATTAATAATTCAAATGCTACTTTTTGATCCCCTAAACCAGAAGTAATCCAGTTCCTTTTAAAGCCCTTTATTGATACTTCAACTACAGCACTTATTTCATTTATTCTGACTCGTTATTGCTAGTGGTTTACATGTTTATCCCTTCCAGCAGACTGTGAGCATCTTAATATGTATGAATACTCCTAATTCCTTTTTTGTTTTCTACAAATTTTCTACTGTGGAAATTTAAGTTGATTCTTAAATGTCTGATGGATAAATGAATGGATGAATAGCATCATGTGATTATTCTCTTCCCAAGACTGAAAAGTAACACAAAGATTGTACTTACCTTATTCTTTTCATTTTGAATAACTTCTAATAACTGATCTATGTGCCCTTCTTCTATGCATCTTTGGCCTGCTAACTGAAATAGGCCAAAATCTTCTTCTTTAAAGTCCTGTTCTTCTAGGATTTGCTGGCAAAAACAAAACAAACAAAAACCAAACACATATGCAAATAAAAATTCAATATAATAATATCTTCATTTATTCCTCTGAAAAAAAAGAAATCTGTTTAAATTTTAGATAAATTGCTCATAAATACATACATTAAAAATAGGATTACCCTAATAAACACCTTAATGAATGATCTTGAAATCCACTGTACCAAAGAAATCTACAAAAAGGATCGATATTAAAATGTAAAAGATTATTTAGACAAGTACGTCACTTGAAGAAATAATTTAATCTGTTTACCGTCCTTACGCTGTTGACTGGTCTAACAAAGCAGGGATTAAAGAAGATAAGCAATTTGAGAGGCAACAAATGTAATTAAATATAATCTATGCCCTTCCCATATTTTGAATGGTATTTAATCTTACAAAAGAAAAAAAAATTACTTACACATCTCTGTATTATGGATTTAAGTTCCTCCACAGCCATTTCTAGTTATTTTTCCTCGTTTTGATGCTGAAATATACTAATAGAAAACACACTGATATTACATTTAAGTATTCATAAGTTATATTTCATTCTGATGAATTATTAGTAAACACAATAAAGAAAATGTAAACTTTTAAAGTCGAAATGTTATTACTGAATTTAGTATGTTACCCTAAGAAAATTAAGTGTTTTTTTAAAGCCCTTATGGCATCTTTTTTACTCTAAGCATCTTTTAAATTTCCTAGGAGTTTTGAAAAATACCTTAAAGGAAACAAAACAAAACAAAACCCTCCAGAGCACTTCCAAGAGGCTAGGCAAATACGAACCAAAGGGTAAAAAGGCAAAATATTTCTTTTCTGAAAAAAATTTTCCAAAAGGTGGGCCTGAAATCAGAACTCTAATTATTACAGGGCTTTTTAAAATTTTTTAACGTCCCACTTGACAAAAATTGGGGTGCAACACAACTAACACACCCAGGGGGGGTGAAGGTTCAGGTGCCCTCCATCCCATTTCCCTCCAGGAGTTGCAGTCCCCAAAGCAATCAGTCTAGTCGGTGAAATCCCCATGTCAGACTGAGACAAGGCAATCGGCGGCCGTCGGGGGAACACCGTCCCGCTCCCGCGGACCGTGGTCTTTCCCGGCGGGAAGGCTCGGCCCCACGCCCGCAGCAGTAAGCGCGGATCAGCCCGGTCCTCACGGCAGCGTGCGGGCGGGCGGCATCCAGAGGAAGCCATTTCCCCCGATTCCTGCTCGTCCAGGCTTCGGGCCCCACCACCGCTGGACCTGTTCGGCCCGAGGCGCCCGTTCCTCCGCGGCTCACCGCCCACCGATAGCCTCGGCCGCCCCGGACCGAGCGGCGGGTCCACTTACCGGCCAGACCTCCGGCCCCTCGCTGTCCCTCCACCGCCTCCTCCGGCCGCGTAGGCCGCTCTCCCGGCCCCGCCCCGGCCCGCCCCGGCCGGGTCCGCCCAGCACTGCGCGAAGAGAGGCGGAGCCTCCCGGGGAGACGCCGGAGCCGGCCCCTCACCTACTGACGACGAGTCCAGATGGCTGACTCTACTGGGCCGCGGGCTTCTGGCCACAAGGCCCGGGCTCCCCGCGCCTCCCGAAAAGCCGCAGGTAGGAACAAGGGCCTCTTCCCATGTTTGGACCCTGAGAACTGGATCCGGACCGAGTTCGAGACCGAGGCGCTGGGGGCGCCCCCGAAGGCTGCCCCGGGGGAGGAGGTCTCCGGGATAGGGAAGGCCAAGAGCTTCCCACCGCCGTCCTCGCGCCTTCTGGGAAAGACAGCTCTGCACGAGTTTCCCCCAGCGTGAGCTATGGCCCCAGCTTCTGTGGGAAAGAGCAGTGGAGGTGCTAGGGCCCCGGGGTGGGGGTCCTCAGGATGGGCAGGTGACCTGGGGCAGCGCTGGCATGCCGCGCGCGGCTGGTCTTGAACCTAGGACCCGTCCTCCTTCCACATTGCTTTGGTATCCGGTTCTCTAAGGTGTAGGACTCCCCTCTTGCCCCGGGAGCGAACATTTGGGGAGACGGAGAGAGGTTTCCCCTAAAAGTACCCAGGTCTCAGATATTCAGGAGTTCTTAATTAAGCAAGCAACTATGATACCCGAGAAAATTCAATCCCAAAAGAGATACATTTTAACCAAGAAAAATTAGGGAATAATCAATTTACAAATACAAATTGGATTCCCTTCCTATTTGATTTTGATTTACACACAGGATTGGAATTAAGATTTGCAGAAAAAAAAGAAAAGATGGCCTACAGTATGTTTGGGCAGGATTCTACCCTGTTTTTCTGTAGACTTGACCTACTGGTTTTATTTTTAATTGTAGGTACTAAACAGACAAGTGCCTTGAAACAAGAAGATGCTTCCAAAAGGTATGAGAATTCCTTGGTCAACTGCATTCACTTACTTATTTATCTCGTAATAGTTGAGCCAATTTTTTTTTTTCTTTTTTGACTTTTTTCGTGACCGGTAACAGGATCGCAACCCTCGGTGTCGCGCCCGCACAGCGCTCAACCAGTGAGCAGACTGGTCTCTATATGGGATCCGAGCCCCGTGGCGCTCTCAAGCGCCGCACTCTACCGAGTGCACCACCAGGCTGGCCCAAGCCAATTTTAAAAACAATAATGGGTACTTTTTTTTTTTAGAGAAAATGATTATGAGAGGGAAGGGATAAATCTAGGAAGCAGTATAAATTCTCACATAGACTGTTACATTCCTATACTCCAGGCTTTAGGAAAACCCACCTAAAGGCTCTTAGACTGCTGGTGAAAGTATGAGTATCTGTAGAAAGGTGTCTGTGGGAACAGACATTCCTGAGTTAACCAGGTGCTCCTTTTCCACCTCTTCAGGGACGCTCTCTTTTTGTTGCTTTATACACCAGAGACTCACTGTCCAAGTTTTTCTCTTTATCACTCCAAGAAACCTTTTCTTTTTTTTTTTTCTTTGTTACATCAAGTCCAGATTTTCATCAAATGTCTCTTGGCTTCTAAAAACGCAAGATATCATCTCATGTCACAAAAGGTTTCTAGGAGTAGTTGTGGAGGGGAGTGACCCTCTGTAAATTTATTCCAACTAAAAAATACTTCTACATTCAACCCAGGTGTAGTGGATTGAATCGTGTCCCCACCAAAACTCCATGAAGCTTGAATTGTGTCCCCAAGTTTTATGTATTGGAAACTTAGCCTCCACTGTGACTGTTAAGAGGGTGGGAAATCCTATCGTGGTAATTGAAAGGTGAGGCCTTGAAGAGGTCATTGGATTGTAGCGCCATGCCATAGTGAATGGATTAAAAATGGTGGTCAGGGGCATGTTTCTGAGAGCTTTAAAAGAAAAGGAGAGTCTGTCTCTCTCTCTTGCTCCCTCTGCTTCCACCGTCTTGCAATGTGAGACCCCTGAGTCACTGTTGCTACCACCAGATGGACTTTGGACTTCCCAGCCTCAAAAACTGTAAGCAATAAATGATTTTCTTTATAAATCACCCAGTTTCAGGTGTTCTGTTATAGCAACACAAAACGGACTAATATACCAGGTGAATACTATCAAGACAGACATTGAAGAGATTTGCAAAAATATAAAACAATTCCATTCTTCTCATTAATTTTTTCATTTAAAAATATTATTAACATGTAATGGGTTAATTATTATTGATAAGTAAATGCTTTTAAAATTTCTCAGTTTCAATCCTGTTAACCCAAATAACAAACAGAGAGGCTCTCTAAAAAGAAAAATGAGTTTAATTGGAGTATTTAAATGAGTATCATTGCAGTGGGAATACTCATGCTATAGTAAACTGCGTGCTTATTCAGGGATGTAAAGAAAGAGAGTTTTGAAGGTAGAGTGATGGAGGATTACGTAATTGTTTTGGCATAATTATCCTTGGCTACAAGGATCAATAACAAGGATGATGCCAGTTTGAGGGTGGACACACAGTTTCTGGACACATGTCCTCACAGAAGTACTTTTGGTTAACGTTGCAATGGCCTCTGTGCAAGGTTGTGCTTTTGCAGAGTCCTTTGTGGTAATTTTTGTTATCAGTCATTAGTGCCTGAGACCCTCCTTTTATGGCCTTCCCCAGCTCTATTTGTCAGGGTTTTTTTTTAACACAAGCAACTCTATTTTGACCCTGACAACTTTCATAATCTTAATTGTATAAATATTCACAGTTATAATCCACGTAAGCAAATGCCCTATTTTTTTTTTTTTTTAAAGATGACCAGTAAGGGGATCTTAACTCTTGACTTGGTGTTGTCAGCACCACGCTCCCCCAGTGAGCAAACCGGCCATCCCTATATGGGATCTGAACCTGTGGCCTTGGTGTTATCAGCACCACACTCTCCCGAGTGAGCCACGGGCCGGTCCCAAATGCTCTAATTTTAAGAGTATAAAGGAGTACTGAGACCAGAAAGTTTGAGAACTGCTCCTTCATACCACACAACCTATCATCATTTGGGACAGACGGCAGTAATGAGACAAGGCTGTCCATAGGAAGCTACTGTAGATATCTGTCATTAAGAGGAGTGTGGCTGCAGTTTGAGACAGTTGATGGCTTGAGTCAGTAATTCCTTAGTGCAGGTTGTGTACTGATCTTACTACATGACACAGCTTTTATTGGTAGGCAACAAAATGGGAAAAATAAAATGAGATTTTTATGAAGCTAAATGTATTCAGTATAAAGAACTGCAATTTAACCTGTGTTCATGTCTTTTATACTTCCTTGATATAAAAATGGCCTTTATGAAATGATGAGGGAATAGGTGTTAGTAGCAAAATGCTTTGTTTTAAAATCCCTACTTGGCAAAATTGTGTCAGTCCTTCAAATTGTTTTTGTAGAACATATTTCTCCAAGCAAGGAGTTAGAGTCTAAAGTTTTGGAAGTCAGTGAAGGTAGGAAGGAAAGGTGAGCGCATTCTTGGTCCAGATGTAAGAGCCAAGTCAAGGTTCAGGAGGCCAAAAAGGTAGTTCTGGTAGGCAAGTGGAAACCAGTGCAGGAAAGGAGCAAGTAAGTTACCAAGATGGCTGATATCTTTGGTCCTATGGCATTGATTTTTCAACCCTGTTGAACAGTAAGATTATCTGTGTGCTTTTAAGAAAATAGCAGTAACCATGCCCCATCCTCAGAGATTCTGATTTAATTAGTCTGCAATGGTTCCTGGACATGGTATCATTTTTTTAAATCTCAGGTGATCCTAATGTGCACCTGGGACTGAGAATCACTGTCATAGAGGCCATTGTTTGATCAGCCAGCCTCTGCTTTTAAGTTCCATGACGTGTGGAGGACAGCAAATCTCAGGTGATCCTAATGTGCACCTGGGACTGAGAATCACTGTCCTAGAGGCCATTGTTTGATCAGCCAGCCTCTGCTTTTAAGTTCCATGACGTGTGGAGGACAGCAAAGGCACACCAAGTCCCTCTGGTGACAAGGATAAGCCCTCCTAGGAAGAGTTTTATTTTCCTAAACCACACATTCTTATCAATATATTTGTTTAACAAGACTTCACAATAAGAGTCAATAAATGCTTCTTTGCAAATATGACTATCCTGTCAAACTAAGCTATCAGTTAACTTTTGAGACTTGACACAAATTTTAACTTACAAGAACAGTTGAAGTTGTCTTTTTCCCTCTCTAATCTTTTCTGATTATTGGCTCCTGATCTGAGGAAAAAGCCTTCCTTTTTAGGTACCTACAGGAGTGATAGAGTATAAACTCTCACTGGCAAAAAAAGTTTCACCTCATTTTCTTCCTATAGAAGTATCTTAAATGCTTCCTTGTGCTCTGAGCCCTGGAAATAAACCTGTTACGGCAGACTTCTGTGTATGCAGGGGAACAAGTGGCTTGTTTTCTTTTTGAAAAGTATTGGATCAAAAGTAACAGCATTAAAAAAATACAGATTTTGGACTTTTTGGGGGGGTTTTTTTGGTTTGTTTTTTTGGCTGGCTGGTACAGGGATCAAACCCTGGACCTCCATGTTATCAGCACCACACTCAAAAAATAAAAATTTAATTTAAGTGGCAAAATAGTGAGTTAGGTTAGTGTTGTATTTTATAACATGGGCTATTGGGCATGATGAAGTTTGTAAGCAAATTAACTTTCTCATTGAAATTTTAGGAAAGCAGAACTAGAAGCAGCTGTGAAAAAGAAGATTGAATTTGAAAGAAAAGCTCTGCATATTGTTGAGCAGCTTTTAGAAGAGAATATTACAGAAGAATTCCTAATGGAGTGTGTATGTGTTAAGTTGACAAATTATTAGTTTTATGTATAATGTCTTTTGATCTGTGTAACATGTAATTTCTTTGCATTACTTAAATCTTGGAACCTGTTCTCAGTCATTAGATGCCGGTAACGTTATATAATTTTTGCATTTTAAAATAATCAACTATCATACATTCTTTGTTGTATAATGACTTTAAAATGTACTAATGAAAACAACAAGTACACAGCAAGGTGACTATAGTTAATAATAATGTATCGTGTATTTTAGAATTAGTAAAAGGGTGGATTTTAAATGTTGTCACCACAAAGAAATGGTAAGTATCCGAGGTGATGGATATGTTAAGTGGCCTGATTTGCTCGTTCCACAATGTATACATGTATCAAAACATCACATTGTACCCCATAAATATATACAATTATTATTTGTCAATTAAAAAGAAAAAAAAGAAAAAGAACAAGCTTATTTTACCCCTTAGTTTTACTTTTAGACAGTCTGCTAATATCACTTGATTTTCCTCACTTTGCATTAGTGATCACAATGTCAGTTTCCTATATTCTGTGTGTTGTGCTATTTTAAGGTGCAGAATATTATTATTTTTATTAATGTAATTCGATTAATTTTGATATTTTAAAAACCTGAAATATAGATCATTTATGACAGCATAAAAGAATTATAATTCTGCATTAAGAAATTCTTTTGTTTTTTTTAAACAGCTTTATTGCATTAAAATTTGAATGGAAATTTCTCTATGTGCTCATAATCCTTAAGAGAAAGAATTAAAACTCAGAGCTTCTGTTGCAAAAATAATTTTTAGTGTGGTTCAGAGATTTTTCTAATGAAGAAGAATATGATCATGACAGTATTTAAATTGATATAGAAAACTACATCAGAAGGTACAAGCATTATGACACTCAAGAAGACAAAGACAAATCAGAAATGCTTCATTTGAAACAAAAAACTTAATCACTCTCAATAAAAAGTATTTCAGTCTCTCTGAAAACAGAAAAACATGTTCAAAAAGATCTCAAAGTTATGAAACAAGAGTTGATATTATTTGAACATAAAGATGTCAAAGGAAAATATTTGCTGTTAACTTTTAACCATCACCTCACCACTCTGTACAGTTTTTTCAAAAGTAGGAAGATCTTGCACAAAAATTTGTTCAGTAGTCACAGTGATACCTTTGCTATACTTTGTTTTTTAGGAGTACTATTTTTTAAATATGTAAAGGTTTATTTTATTACATTATAGGTTTAGTTTATTTTTAAAATAAAAGATACTATCATCATTTAGCTTTGGTTTAGCTATAGCACTGCTTTTTCCTCCTGTCTCAGAATTATTTCATAATCTATATAATCTACAAAGATGCACAGTCTACTGTAGCAGAAGTTTTTATTTTTGTTTATAATAATCAGTAACATTTTTTGAGCACTTACTCTCTGTCAGGCTCTTCTCTAAGTGCTTTTCCTTTATTTTCTCCTCTAATTCTAACCTTAAACTTATCATATAGCTACTATTGTTATTCCGGTGTTTTCAGATGAGATCAATAAGGCTTAGAGAGGTGATAATGAGTGAACTTTTCCATTAATCTGGGAGGAAATGTCCCTCTCATTTCTTTACAGGGGAAGTTCATCACACCTGCTCACTACAGTGATATTGTGGAAGAACGTTCTATTGTCAAATTCTGTGGTTATCCTTTATGTCAGAAGAGGCTGGGAATTGTAAGTAACTAATTTTTTTTAAATATAGGCTTTTATTTTTTTTATTTAGTAAAATATTTTGTAGAAAGAACAAGAACTGAAACCTGAGGTCATGAACTAATGACATGGGTTGGCCAAAGATATGATATGTAGATGACTTAATCTTATAAAGTTCATGTTTATTACTTGGATTCTTTTGCAAGCTATACTTTCTTTTCTTTAGGTACCAAAACAGAAATATAAAATTTCTACCAAAAACAATAAAGTCTATGATATTACTGAAAGAAAGGTAAGTTTAAAGGCTATTTTCAATGTGGCAGTTAATTTTTAATGATACTAAATAGAATTCTAAAAATGACTGTGTAAAATCTTCCCTGTTAGAAAATAACCATGTTAAAAGTTTGGTTTGAGGGCCGGCCCGGTGGCGCACTGCTACAGTGCGCCGCTTGGGAGCGTGGAGGCACTCCCGCCGCTTCCCTGTTAGAAAATAACCATGTTAAAACTTTGGTTTGAGGGCCGGCCCGGTGGCGCACTGCTACAGTGCGCCGCTTGGGAGCGTGGAGGCGCTCCCGATATGGAGTCTGGTACATTGTATGTATGGGGAATGTGTGCAGCAATGTAAACATTCATGTGAGCTATATTTCCCTTTTAATTTCTTCCCAGCTGGTATCAACAGAAATGGATGGAATGAGCAGAGATACCCAAAGAAAAACAAGAGGTGATTCTTGCTCCCCCCCCAAAAATACAAACAGACCATCCACCTAACAACTAACTAAACACCTTTTATTTTTTAAAGGAAAAGCAGATTTTTAAAAAGGCTCATAATTCATTTTTTTGAACTATGCTTAGCTAATACTTCATATATTAAGATGCTTAGTGAATATCCAAGTTTTGTTCTTACAAAACTGATCTTAAGGGGCCGGCCCGGTGGCGCACTGCTACAGTGCGCCGCTTGGGAGCGTGGAGGCACTCCCGCCGAGGGTTCGGATCCCACATACAGACCGGCCGCTCACTGGCTGAGCGAGGTGCGGGAGCAACACCGAGGGTTGCGATCCCGTTGCCGGTCCCGGTCCAGTACGGGCACGACACTGAGGGTTGCAATCCGTTGCTGGTCACGAAAAAAGACAAAAAGGAAAAAAAAAAAAAAGTTTGGTTTGATTTGTAAATATTTCAATCAAGTATTAAAAAGTTCTTCACTTGAGCTATAATTAAAATTTGCACATTTAAAAATTGAAAGTGCATATTGGCAAAAATCTAGGCAAGTAAATCATGGAACAGAATGGAGAGCCAGTAATAGACACTGCATAGGTGGACACTTGATATATGGCAAAGAGAGTATTGTAGATCAGTGGAGGAATGGATGGATTTTTTTATAAATAGTACTGGCACAATTAGTTATCCAGGTGGAAAAAATGAAAACTGACCCCTATCTAGGTCTACATACAAAGATCAATTTTAGGTAAAGTTCTAAATGTTAATGGCAAACCATTGTACTGGGGGTGCATCTGGTTAGGGCCTTGTTCTTGGTGGGGACTGTCTACATAGTCCCATGGAGACACAGGCAATCATATTTTGAGGGCTGGGCAAGAGCACTTTTTCGTGCTCACTTACTCTCCTTATAAAGCCCCCAGTCTACTATCTTATAGCCCAATAAACCATTAACCCATTACTCCATGAGTGGATTAACCAATTCATGAGAGCATAGTCTTCAGGATCCAATCACCTCTAAAGGCCCATCTTTCAAATACCATATTGGGAATTAAGCTCCAGCATGAGCTTGCGGGGACATTTGACCCATAGCAAATATAAACCTGAAGTAGAATTTCTTAAATAAGACAAAAAATTTTAGACCATAGAAGAAAAGCTGATAAATTTTTCTACATTAAAATTTAAAACTTTTTTTCTCAGAAGTTTCCAAAAAAGAGTGAATAGATAAGTCACAAATCAAAAGAAGTTATATTTCCCACATATAACTGACCACAGATTCATATTGAGAATATACAATTTATAAGAAAAAGAGAGACAAACTAATAGAAAAATATTACACAAGGAACTTGAATGACTAACAAACATGAAAAGATGCTTAATCTTATCAATAATGAAGGAAATGGCAAATAACAACACAATGAGCTATATTTTTACAGCCTCCAAAGTAGCGAAATTACAAAAACCTAACAATATTAGGAACTCTATATTGCTGCTTGTAATAAGAATTGGTACAAACTTCATGAGAAACTGTTTGGCATTTATCTAGTAAAGTCAACTTCGCACTTTATTTATGACTGACGTTTTCAATTTCTTCATATATACCCTAAGGAAATTCTTATCCATGTGCACCAGTATATATGTATAAGAATGTTCATAGCTGGATAAACAAAATGCGGAATATACATGCAATGGAATATTATTCAGCCTTGAAAAGGAAGGGAATTCTGACACATGCTACAATATGGATGAACTTTGATGACATAATGGCTAAATGAAAAAATCCAACAAAAACCAGATATTGTATGATTTCACTTATATGAGGTACTTAGAGTAGTCAGATTCATAGAGACAGAATGTTGAATGGTGATCACCAAGGGAGGTGGAAAGGGGAGTTATTGTTTAATGGGTATAGAATTTTAGTTTTGTAAGATGGAAAGAATTCTAAACATGAATGGTGGTAAAGGTTGCATAACAATGTGAAGGTACTTAATGCCATTGAACTGTGCACTTAAAAATGGTTAAGATGATAAGTTTTATATTCCATGTATTTTACTACAATTTAAAACATTTTCAGTTGTAAAAAAAATGTTCATAGTGACATTGTAGTGATAGCAAAAAAATTAAGAAACAACTCAGTTGTCTGTAAACAGTAAAGTGTAATATACTAACACAAGGGAATGTAATTCACAGTGAAAACGAATAAGCTACAACTACATGAATGAATCTTAAAAACGTGAAGTAATAAGAATATATAAAAATATGATTCCATTTAGATAAAGTTTAAAAATAGGCATAATATTCACAGTGAAAACGAATAAGCTACAACTACATGAATGAATCTTAAAAACATGAAGTAATAAGAATATATAAAAATATGATTCCATTTAGATAAAGTTTAAAAATAGGCATAACTGAACGATATGTTTTATACAGACGTGTACATAGGTGGTAAATCTAAAGAAGAGCAAGGGAATGATGAACACCTAGTTTATGGTGGTGATCACCTCTGGGGAGTGCAGAGGGCAATGCAGCGGGGGAGGGGCACATAGAGGCCTCCAAAGGTACTGGACCTTATTTCTGACCTTGGGTGGTAAATTGGTGGGTTTTCATTTTATTCTTTGACGTACATATTTATCTTTTTTTATACTCTCTTTTGTATATAGGTTATGTTTCACAATAAGAAACGAAATTAGTTTTAAAATGTTCTTTTCAGTCTTTTTGCAGCAACTTTTGTTATCGAGCATCCAAGTTTTTTGAAGCACAAATTCCCAAAACTCCAGTATGGGTTCGAGAAGAAGAAAGGTAATTTAAGTCATTATGTATACACATTTGTTCATATATTCTAATAATTTTTTCTGTTTTTTGAGATAGGCTTAGAGTAGACCTCGCTTTAAGTAGAATGTTATCATTTTACACACTTTGTGGAGAAATAGTTATATTTTAAGCATAGCTTTTAAGGATTTTACACTTAAAAGTGAGAAAATTCAGTCTTACAAATGTTATTTGCCTTCTGTTTTTTTAGCTTTAGTCACAAAACTGGAACTTTAACTCTGGCTTCCTGCCATGCCAGTTATATCTGTGAATCCTGTAAATAGAATAATCCTGGAGTAAGAAGGTTAAATTTTTTCAGAAGATACTGGGTCTTGGGATCCACTGAATTAACTTGATTGTTAGGAAACTATGTGCTAAGTTTAAAAAGTCCAGGTTACTAATTCATTTCTCTTTATTAAAATCAGTACAATATTTTATAAATTTAAAGAAAGCCAATTAAAAAGTCATTTTTTTGTAAAAAAAAAAAAAAAAAGTTTACAGGTATTGCTGGGGTTTTGCCTCTTGGGAAATATTTAAACACTTGCAATATTTTACTAGATGTTGAATTTGAGGAAATTTACTATTAAGGGTAAAATGGCATAAAAAAATTAAATGGTAGCAAAAATTATTATTATGGTAATTAAATGGTATTGTCTAGAAATTCCAAACAAAGGCTTTCTATAATGTCCCAAATCATGTTTGATAGACAGTGTAATTTGTGGTAAGATAGTGAGGGTCTATGCTAAATAAATGTAATGACTTAAAAGTAATGAGATGCAAGTTAACTAAAAATTTCTGCCTGAAAAAAAAAAAACCTTAAAGTCCTATCTGATGCATGAGGTGATATGACACCACCCTAAATTCAACTAGCATCAATTATACGTTTGATGGCAAACACTTTGCCCTGCCACTTCAATCCTGTGTGGTTTACAATATGTAAAATATACCATACTTTAGACTTTATTGAATTTAACAGAAGGAAGACTAAATTGTTTATCATTTTACCACCAGCCTCTCAGCTTTCTTGTTTGGTGGATGAAAGATTGTCCAAGGCAACTGGGAAGCTGATCGCACCTTTTTACTTGTCACTCTCTTTTTCTCCTTTTTAAATATTTCTTTCAGCAGAACTTCCCACCACCTCATCAGCCCTAGTACAGCAACACGTTTCATTTCCCACTAAGACCAGTTTTTCTTAAGTTACCCTTTACTTAGCTTCCAAAGGTATCTTCTGTACTTCTTAAATTTAACCCTCTGTGCCATCCTTGTATCTACTTCAACTGCTTAGAAACTGTTTACCAAACTGCTTTTTCTGCCATTTCTATTTTCTTCAAATATAGTTATTGGTACTTCCTTTAGCTAATTTAAAACAGTTCTTTGGGCTGGCCCGGTGGCACACTGGAGAGTGCGCCGCTTGGGAGTGCGGTGGCGCTCCCGCCGAGGGTTCGGATCCCATGTGGAGACCGGTTCCCGCTCACTGGCTGAGCGGGGGGCAGGCGCAACACCGAGGGTTGTGATCCCGTTGCTGGTCCCCGGTACGGGTGCGACACCAAGGGTTGCGATCCCGTTACCGGTCAGTAAAAGAGACAAAAAGGAAAACAAAACAAAACAAACAAAAATAAATAAATAAACAGTTCTTCCCTCTAAACTTTTGTGAAATTTTACCATCTTATGTTCAGAATGCCCACTTTTTCCCAGAATCTGAAGCCTTGTCCTTTATATTTGTGGTTCTTGAAATTTTACCTTATCTCTATGTCTTTCCCTACCTTACTAAAAAAGCAGCATGGAAATGGCCTTTGCTTCCTTGACCTAAACTAATCAACTTAATTTACAGTCAAAGTGTGCAGTATGTGCTTTGTATCTGGCAGGCTGCACATACACACACAAAAGTATAAACCCCAACCACAGTTTAATAATCATTGGGGTGGCAGAACAAATACACGAGTGAAACAATTTTGTACTGACCTTAATGGAGACCTGTAATGTATATTAGCATGGGCATTGCCTAATAAGAAACTCTAAGCAAAAGTGAGAAAATAAACTTGTGGGAGTGGGTTTAGGTATTGAACATTGACTCACTTGAGAAAAAATAGAAGATAATGATAAGTAAGTCACAAGGAGCCAGGCTGAGGTTTTTTTTTTTTTCCTTTTTGTCTTTTTTCATGTCCGGCAACGGACCGCAACCCTCAGTGTCGCGCCCGTACCGGACCGGGACCGGCAATGGGATCGCAAGCCTTGGTGCTGCACCCGCCCCTCGGTCAGCCAGTGAGCGGGAACCAGTCTGTATGTGGGATCCGAACCCTCGGCGGGAGCGCCACCACACTCCCAAGCAGTGCACTGTAGCAGTGCGCCACCGGGCCGGCCCAGGCTGAGTTTTTAGTGGGGAGCTATCAAATGTTTTTGAGCGGAACTTAAATGCACAAGATGAATTAAAGAAGACAGAATCGTAATTAAAGAGCCCAAAGGGTCCTTAGATTTAATCCAACCCCTTCATTAAACAGACTTTTTTTGCTATCACTACAATGTCACTATGAACATTAAAGATTAAGTGTATTTCTTGGGCTGGTAATAGATTCTGAATGAGGCCAGGATTTTATTCATTGTATTCAAGTTTATTAGAAGAAAAAGTGAGTAATTTATAAATATACATTTGTCCCATTCTATATGGTATAACTATAGCCCTTAATTGTGTATAACACCTGTCAGTTTATACCATATCAGTATTTTATATCTGTATGCATCAGTGTTACCTTAATTTCTAAATTCTTATGGGCAGTGATTATGTCAGTGTTATTTAATGAATCCACTAGAGGTCACTGTTTTTTCAGAGATTGATTTTATTTTTTTAACTGTGCTAAGGATCAGAATTCTAGAATCGGTATTCTTAAAATCTTGTTTAGCTATTGCACATATAAGCTCTACAGATAGGTGATATTTTAAAGAAAGACTATTCATATATGGTGGGGTTCATATTCAGAACAGATCTTTGGAAGGGAGAAAAAATGTCTTAAAGCAGAGATTTTTATTAGTTTACAGTGAGTCACCATACTAAATAATATATTGCATCATAGTAGTAATTTCAATAATTATAATTTTAAAATAAAAATAATTTTGAAATCAACTTAAAAAATTAGTTATCTTATTGCAATAACTTCCAAATTTTATCATAAACACATTTTACATTATGATTCAGTATATGCATATAATCGAAGCAAGTTTTATGAAACAATATTTATTGTCACTCCATGAAACGCCTCTGATATTTTCTACTCTGTTGCTTTCTTTAATTGCTGGTAGCAACCCATTTAATTGATTGGTCCTGAGCTGCAGTTTGAAGAGCACTATTTTGATGGATCTAGCTCAGATTTTTAGTTGTTTTATTATAGGAAAGCTGCTTATCAACATTAGATCTCAGTTTCTTCATTTGTAAAATTAGAAAGTTTCATTTAACCTCTTAGTTCCCTTAAGTTCTAATGCTTTACAGTTTTAAGTCAATTTTGTCTTTAGTCACTGCTACTATAGTGAAGGTTTTCTAGATAAGGAAATGCCATATATAAAAATGATGAGAATTTAAATTATCAGAACACTTGGGAAATTTATACTACCTTGTAAGAAACTGTCTCATTTAAGAATTTATAACAAAAGCTACTGAATTTAATAATTTGAACTCTTTAGTCTATAAAGATGAAGGCTGATGAAGGATTAGATCAAAGTTTTTAAATTATGAAGAAAAGCCAGGGATGGTTTAGAATATGTCCCAAACAATTTGAACTTGACATGTTTGGGGGCACTGTGATATTATACTCTATTTGGAAATAGAGTATTGAATATGACCCAGTTTGGTCTTCCTTATATTATGGTGAAAACCAGTATAAATTTATTTACCAGGTTCTAAAATACTGAAACCCAGTAGTATCTCTTAAAATTTGTAAGATATTACTTTATACCACAGTAAGCTTACTACCTCATTGGTACAGATATATAAACAGGTTTAAGAACAAATTAGACAAATTCATGTTTTAGCTCCATACTTTCACCGAGGCTTTTGAGTCAGAAAAGGCCTTGGAGGTTTCCTAGTTCCTCATTTTTAAGGTATGAAGAAAGTATCTGGAATATATCCTTAATGTCATGGAGACCAGCAGTGCTTCCCAAGGACTGTCTCCTGATGCCCTGTGAGAGACAAAATACTGACCTAGAGTGGTCTGAGTTATGATGCAGTATGTTACTTCTCATGCTGTGAGTTAGAAATTTTTCACCCACTTGGTGGCCAGAAACAAACCACATCATACAGTTTTGATGCTCCAAGACAGTGTGCTCATTTAGATAGTCATATACTTGCAGTTATAAATCTTGTTTGGTTAAATGTAGGCTCTGACAAGTCTTTGAAGAAGGAAAGTTTCTTGAATTATAACCTAAAAGCTAAAATCTAATCTAAGAAGGAAGGACAAATGTTGAAAATCAAATTATGATTATGGGGTGAATGGGTAATGCTGACAGAGCTAAAAGCACCATCATGCGGCCCAGAGTAGGGGATTTTACACATTGCTTCTTGGCAATAAACAGCATAATCTCAGAGGTGCGGAAGCCAAAAACCTCTGCAGAACAACTTTTATAACCTCTTCCTGAGCAGCTACCTCTCTTGCTTGGTATACAGAATAAAAGCTTTCTAAAACAGGTTTTAACATGTCTCAAAATATATTTGAAAAATTCCCACCACAGGGGGGATTATAGCCTGCTGCTTCTGTTGGTTTATATATAATATACATATTCCAAGTGATATATATTTATATACACACACACATATATGTACATACATACAAAAGGTTTTTTGGCCTAAGTTATTTCTAGTTTTAGATTCACTTTGCTAAAGTTAAAACTAATCTCATTTATGCCTTAGTGAAAATAAGATGAAAATGTTCATAAAGAAACTTCTTAAAGGTATTTAACTAGGATGGTTTCTTGTTTTTGTTTTTTAAATTGAGCTTCCAGAACTA